TTTTTTTTTTTTTTTGGAGAGATTTTCACTATAGGGTGTGTGCACTCGCCAGACAGACACAAGAGACATAGAGACAGAAAGCGAGAAATCACCCCCCAGGGGGGATGGCCACGCCGCAATCCCTTCTCCTCCATTCTTCTCTTGGGATCTTGGGCACGCACGCACACGCGCCCGGCGTGAGTTTTAAGCCACCGGGTCCGGGATGCGAACTGCAGTCGACTAAGTGGGAGTCCAGCGACATAACCATTACGCTAACTGCTGGTTCTCCCCAGACTTTTTTTATTAAGATAAAAAAAATAAACTCCCTAGGTCAAAGCCAGGTGTATGTTTATCCCTAATAAAATCAATAAAGTACATGTTTTAGAGACATGAATTGTCTACAACTGACATTTTCCTTTATTCTCATGATAAAAAGCATTAGATATTTTCTATGGGAAAATAAAAATTCAAATAAGCTAAAAAGAAGAAAATGAAAAAAGCAATCAAACTCGCAATCCATAAATAACAGTGTCAACACTATGACCAAATGAAGATATATCTTTTCAGACCTCTTTTTGTGCACATATTTTAGGATTTTTTTAAAAAATGAGATTATACTATGTATATCCCAGGGGAAATTCTTTTTTCAATAAACCATGGCTACTTTTCTATTAACATCCTGTGGATTTTGAAGGAGACATGTGCACTATCTTCAATTTTCTTAAATATCACTCCAAAACATACCTGAAATTTTTCACCTTTGTGCATCTGAGTTGATCTAAATTCAGGAGAATCTATAAAGGCACAGGGGTAAATGTTGTGCAGAAAATGTCCTCGATAGGAGACCTTCATTCTGATAACAGAAATGAACATTAATGAGCACTTCATAGTTCATAAATAACACGACGATCTTTAAAATAACCATAATCTGTTTTATAGATTTCTGCCATAGGGTGAGTGTGCTCCCTTGGGAGAGAGACAGAGAGAAGGAAAATGAGAAATCAGTCTCTCTAGGGGGGAGGCCACACCACAATCCCTTCTCCTCCATTCTCCTCTCAGGATTTTGGGTGTGTACGCACATTCCTGGCCTGTTTTTCAGACTGCCTGGTCTAGAACTCATACCACAGAGTTGGCCATGTGAGAGTTCACCACCTTAACCACCAGGCCACCTGCTGGCTTGCCATAATCTTATACAATTGTATTTTGTACTAAAGTTTGAAAGATTCCACAGATGATGGACGTAACTAAAAGCACTTTCTGAGCCACCGGTATTTATTTAAAGAAAAAGAAAAAAAAAAGAAACAGCATCTGGTATTGAGCCAGACATGTGCTTTTTTTTTTGGCACCAGAGTTTAGGACTTTTTTAAATTTGTCCTAAAGTCATAGAAGCAAAAATCATGATAAAACATTCTGCTTTCCTTTACAATTGCCCAACGGGGGGGAAAAAAAAACCCCACAACTATTTGTAGGAAAAAATGGTTTTGTACATGGGATGAAACAATATAAATTCAAAACTTACAGATAAG